AAAATTGTTTTTTAGGAGGGCTGTTGTTATTTACATAGCCATCACAAGTGGTGAGGGGTCTGGTTATACACACAGACATTGACTACTCTACTTTTAATCTTTGCCAACTTGAAGGATAAGATGTTTACCTACATTTCTATGAGTATTATTGACATTGAACAATTTATTGAACAATTTTTAATTTTATTTTTGGCTTATTTTGTTCACTAAATACTTTTAATTGAACAGGAAACACATGCACTGGTGAGAAAAATTCTTACGTTGTGAGACAAAATATAATGAAAAATAAGTCCCTCCCTTGGGGCAATCACTACTGTGTTTCTTACATATCTTTCCAAAATGACCTAAGTGTATCAATTTTATAACCCACTCCACTTTTATTTATTGTTAACACAGATGTTAACTTACTGTGCACACTGTTTAATTCTTTCTACTTGATGTGATAGAGAAATGTTTTCTTATCTACACATATAGACTCATACACACCTTTTTAACATCATTATAATATTCTGCTGCTTGTCTGTATAAGAATTTATTAAATGCCCCCTTGTTGATGAACAATTTAGTTGATGGTTGTTTTCAGCTTTTTATTATTAGCAATAACTGATAAACAACTTTATAAATTGTTACTTTTGTACTTGAATATCTGGAATTGTTGGGTTAAGACTTAATCATGTGCATATATATTTTGATGGAAACTGCCAAATTGCACTTTGTTCCAATATATTCTTCCATCATCAGTGCAAGACTATGATTTGAGTGACTTCCCACACCTTTGTCAAAATCATAAGTAAGTTTTAAACTTTGGTAATCCACAGGGAGAAAAATAGAATAATATTGGAGGTTTTGATTTGCATTCCTTTAATTATGTATAAGAATCTTTATGTATGATTATAAATCATTATTTGTTACTTTATTTCTTTTTGTGACAGTGTGATCTTGATTTTAGAGTTTTTTAAAAATTAAAATGGACATAGTTTTGCCATTATTTTATTTTGATGGAAATGCTACTGGGTATTTGTGTTTTCTGCTTTAGAGATGAAATAAAAAGGACTTTTAAAGTGATTCAAGAAAGAAAGATACAGTTTTACTTCCAAGTTCATGAATTCATATTTTCCCAGTTTTCTTAATAGAATAATTGGAAATTAAAGTGTTTCCATTTTTGCGGTGGTGGGGCTTATTAAAGTAATAGGGAGAGGGAGGAGCCAGTTGAAGGGTTTTGTGCTTGAGTAAAGTGAAAGAACTCTGAATGGCGTACTGCTTCTGAACTTTGTGGACTGAACTTCCAGAGATTTTAGAATTTCTCTCCAGATGGAGGCCTTTTACACACTCGGTTTTGAAAGTGTTGTGTATAGCATCATGTGAAAGAAGTGTGATTTAATGGAAAGGGCCTTATCCGGGACCGAAGCTGTCTGCTTTGTTAGCCTGCGCAAACTGCTTCACACCTGTCCCCTCAGGACCCCTTGACAGGTTCTCTCTCCCAGTGATGTCAGGCCTGCTTCTCATCAGGTATTCAGTTAGCTTTTACCTTTGTTACGGCACCTGCGTGGAGAAGGAGAATATTGAGTATTACGTCCTAATTTTTACTTTGATGAAACCTATGGCCTTTTTTCTTGATGATTTTATAACACTGCCAGTTTTAAATCTCCCTAACTGAAGGTTAAAAAGAAAAATGACACCATGAATAATCTCACCACATCATAATGGAATTTAAATTTATTTTTAAATAAAGGTTCAACTACATTTCATGAAAA